GATCGAGATCGAGAGAGAGAGGCAGCGGCGGCTCTCACCCAAGAGATGCGGCGGCGGCGTCTGCGGCGGAGGCGGCGAGGACCGCCAAGCGATGGCGAGAGACGACGGCGGTGTCGGCGTGGGGTTGCCCTAGGCACGGTGGAGGCGAAGGAGAAGCCGAGATCGAAAAACGTCTAAGTGTTGGTGGAGAAGACGAGGGCACACCGGGAATATATATACCCTCGGATCTTTAGTCCCGGTTGGTGAGAACAACCGGGAGTAAAAATATCTTTACTCCCGGTTCGTAACAACAACCGGGACTAAATTCTACGCAGAATTCAATGACCTCCTCTTTTCCATACCCCTTGGCGATGCTTGCCTCTGGACGAGCACGGTTACAAACATACTTCTTCAGAACGCCCATGTACCTCTCGAAAGGAAACATGTTGTGTAGGTACATAGGACAGAGAATACCGATCTCTTTGACAAGGTGACAAAGCAGATGCGTCATTATATTGAAAAATGAAGGTGGAAATATCAACTCAAAGCTGACAAGACATTGCACCACATCATTCTGCAGGGCTTCTAATCTATCAGGATCGATGACCTTCTGCGAAATTGCGTTCATGAAAGCACGTAGCTTTGTTATTGTTGCCCGGACATTGTCTGGGAGGATATCCCTTATTACAACTGGTAGCAGCTGTGTCATCAACACGTGACAGTCATGAGACTTTAGATTTGTGAACTTCTTCTCCTTCGTGCTTATTATTTGCTTTATATTTGTGGAGTATCCAGACGGTACCTTGATGCTCTCCAAGCATTCAAACATACTTTACTTCTCTGCCTTGCTAATAGTGTAGCTGGCTGGACTCAAGTAATGGCTTCCTTTCTCCTTTGGTTCCGGGTGAAGGTCACCGCGTTGTTCCATATGCTTCAGATCATTACGTGCTTCCAGTGTATCTTTCAACTTTCCATATACACCTAGGAAGCCAAGAAGGTTCACGCAAAGATTCTTAGTGAGGTGCATCACGTCGATTGCGTGGCGAACGTCCAAGAATTCCCAATAGGGTAACTCCCAAAATATAGAGTTCTTTTTCCACATCACCGCGTGACCATCTTCGCTCTCTATAGGCTGGCTGCCAGGCCCCTTTCCAAACACTACTTTAAGATCTTTAACCATAGCAAACACTGTTTTCCCGCTGCGATGTTTAGGCTTCGTACGGTGGTCCGCCTTATGTTCAAAGTGCTTGCCTTTCTTCCGTACCGGGTGGTTTGCTGCAAGGAATCGACGATGACCCATGTACACAACCTTCCTACAGTGCTTAAGATACGTACTTTCTGATTCATCCATACAGTGAGTGCAAGCGTTGTACCCCTTGTTGGACTGCCCGGATAGGTTGCTAAGTGCAGGCCAATCGTTGATGGTTACGAACAGCAGCGCTCGTAGGTTAAACTCCTCCTGTTTGTCCTCATCCCACACGGGGACACCTTCCTTCTTCCACAACAGTTTAAGATCTTCGACCAGTGGTCTTAGGTACACATCGATGTCGTTACCAGGTTGCTTGGGGCCTTGAATTATAATCGGCATCATTATGTACTTCCTCTTCATGCATAGCCACGGGGGAGGTTGTAGATACACATCGTAACGGGCCAAGTGCTATGGCCACTGCTCATCTCTCCAAAAGTATTCATGCCATCCGTACTTAAACCAAACCGAATGTTTCGTGCGTCCTTTCCAAAGTCTTTAAATTTTCTGTCGATGTTTCGCCACTGCGAACCATCGGCGGGGTGTCTCAGCATCCCGTCCTGTTGACGCTCTTCAGCGTGCCATCGCATCATTCTAGCATTCACCTTGTTCCTAAATAAACGCCTTAGCCGTGATATTATAGGGAAATACCACATCACCTTAGCAGGAATTCTCTTCTTCGTTAGCTGCCCGTCAACTTCTCCTGGATCATCTCGTCTAATCTTGTATCGTAGTGCTTTGCAAACAGAGCATGCTTCTAGGTTCTCGTACTCCTCACCGCGATATAGGATACAATCATTCGGACATGCGTGAATCTTCTGAACTTCCAGTCCTAGAGGGCAGACTATCTTCTTAGCCTCGTACGTTGTCTCGGGCAATTTGTTTCCCTCCGGAAGAATGTTCTTGACGAGTTACAATAAATCGCCAAATGCCTTGTCACTAACACCATTTTTTGCCTTCCATTGTAAGAACTCCAGAGTGGTATCCAACTTTTTGTGCCCCTGCTCGCAACCTGGGTACAACGACGTTCTGTGGTCCTCTAACATCTTGTCCAATTTATGGGCCCCCTTTTCACTTTCGCAATCCTCCTTGGCGTCCTGCAACATCTGACCAAGATCATCCGCAACGTTGTTACCATCAGCATCCCTTTCCTCCTCGCCCGTTTGATTTCCTTCAAATCCAGCGTACTGAGCAAAGTCCGGAATATTGTCGTCTTCCACTTCATCTTCTTCCATTTCAACACCTTGCTCTCCGTGGGATGTCCAACAATTATAGCTTGGCATGAACCCCAACTCAAACAAGTGGAAATGAATAGTCCTGAATGCAGAATACTCCTTCTGATTCTTACACTTATTGCATGGACAACAAATAAAACCCTTTTGCCTGTTAGCTTCGGCCACTCTCAAAAAATAATGCACGCCGTTAATAAACTCTTTGGACCGCCAGTCAGCGTACATCCATTGCCGATCCATCTACATGACATGAAAAAAAATCGTACACACATAATTATTCGTACAATAATGACAGTCATACAATAATTATAAAATAATTACAAACTCTTTCAACAGTCACACAATAATGACATATCATTATTCATACAAAAATTATGAAATATTACACCAAATAATTATATATTTACTATTTATAAAGTTTAAAACTAATATTAATGTGTTGTACTTATTTTAATTTTTCATTTTAGTTTGTTTTCTATTATTGAAGATTATCTTTCACTATATTTTCCTTCTCAACTATTTTATAAAACCTTCTTTAGCAAATAAACTAAATTTCTATATATTCTTTTTTCCCCACACAAATTTTCTCTCTCATCAACTAACAACAAAATTTTGGAGACAAAAAAGTGTGCAAAACATAGCTCCAAATGTAATATGAAAAAAAAAACATTGGAGGATGAAGTTGCTAACCTTTTAGGCACCTTCGATTTGTATATAATCACCAAAATAAATTCACTAGAAATTTTGGCATGACCTCCCCTCTTTTTTTGAAGAAATTTTGAAGCTTGCTCGGGCTGGAGGAGGAAGAAGACATATATATAGGGGTGGGACTTTAGTCCCGGTTGGTGTTATGAACCGGGGCTAAAAATCGCCGGGATCTTTAGTCCCGGTTGGTACTAAAGTTACGATCTTTAGTCCCGGTTGGTGGGGGGCTTGCCAAGACCTGACAGCATTTGAACCGGGACAAAAGATGATCTTTAGTCCCGGTTGTTGTTACCAACCGGGACTAAATATCAAATATGCCTGTTACCCTTTTTAACCGGGACTAAAGATCTTTGTTGTAACCGGGACTATTGTGGAATTAGCCCGACCGACGAAAGATGGTTTCTCCACCAGTGGTAGTTACAGATTCTGAAAAATGAACTAAGAAGCCAGAAGCTGGAGAAGTTAGGTTTCAGAGCTTTTCCAGATTCTCAAAAGCTGGCTACCAAACAGCTGCTTCTCAGAATCTAAGGCCTTGTTTGGGGGAGCTTCTCCCCGCTACAGTTTTTCCCAAAAGCTGCTTCTGCTAGAAGCTGCCCCAAACAGTTCACAGCTTCTGAGAATCTGTAGTTATAGATTCTGAAAAATAAACTAAGATACCAAACTAAGAAGCCAGAAGCTGGAGAAGCTGAGTTTCAGAGCTTTTTTAGATTTTCAGAAGCTGGCTACCAAACTACCAAACAGCTACTTCTCATAATCTAAATCTTCCCAAACAGGCCTAAAGTCACGAAGGGATCAAACTTCTCATAATCTAAATCTTCCCAAACAGGCCTAAAGTCACGAAGGGATCAAACGAGCGGAGAGAAAGACGTTCGCAATAGAACTTGACAGGCACGATCGGTTTCAGATTTGAGCAAAAGCGGTTAACCGTTCACGGTGTCAGACTATGTAGCAATTTTCTTTCTTTCTTTCTTTATTTTAAAAACTATACAGTACGTTCACGGTGTCAGACTCTGTAGCAATTTTCTTTCTTTCTTTCTTTATTTTAAAAACTATACAGTAGTGCAAATCAGCATCAGCTGGAGCTATCAATCAAAGCAACCGATAATCCCGATTTGGTCACTAATCCCCAACTACCCTCTCACAACACCACATCTTCATGCGAGACCTACATTGGGCCCACCAACACCACATCACGCAATTTGAATCCTCTGCATTAGAGGAGAGAATGCAGAGGGAGCTACAGTGCTCTGCATTAGGGTGTGTTGTTTGCTGTTGGATTCACATCCAACGGCCTAAAACAAATCGCTACAGTAGGTCTAAACAGCAAATGGGAACAGTAATCAGGCAAACAGTAGAAAGATTACTGTTTACAAATTATTTTGCTACAGTACCGAAACACTGTTTGGTCCATTAATTCACTGTAGCAGACTCAGAATACTGTAGCTGCAGTTCTTCTCTGCTGTACTGTAGAGGACCTGGATCCTCACATCACGGCATCACGCCATTTTTCACACCACAGCTGCTGCCCATGAATGCCCATTGCAAGCGAATCATTCATCAGACGACCAGCTACTTCCTCCGTAAAAATTTTCACAATAGTTAAGGAAAGTAAATAAAGGGTGGCTGTGATGGGTTAAGATGACAAGATATTAAATGGTTGTGATCGGCTGAAATAAGAAACGGTAACTACTCCCTCCATTCCTAAATATAAGAAATTTTATTTTGGTTCAAATTTGTTGTACTAGGATACGTCAAATTCAACCAAAATCCTAGACAATCAACATCAACAAAGAACAGAAGCATAAGAAAGTAAACCAGGAGAGGCAGTGAAACAGATGTACACAAACTGAAACAAAGAACAAAATGTATGTAAATATATTGTTCTTGCACTGTATCAGTTCCACATTGAAGTGAAGATTAAAACAGAGATGCCTTACACCGATCTGAAGGCAACAGCAGAGGGCACTGGGCAATGAGAGAGCCAGCAGAATAATAAGATATGATCAAGAGCAGTGCAATGAACAAGGCTGACTAGAAACTAACCTGACAAATTCAATGAAACCACCTAAGCCCACCTTATCATCTACTCATATAATATATAATCTAGAAAGAAAAGGCAAAGCCCTCCAGCTCTTGTCAACTGCTCTACTTACTGGCTTTGCCCTTTTTATGTACACAATTTTGGGTTTATTTTTTACCCGACGGAGCGCGGATATGTTAGCAAAAACTCCCACATTGATCTAGGCATGATGAACACTAGCAAAGACTCCCATTAGGACCAATCTTCGCAATTATCCACACATTCGTTGAGGTCGAAGAGAAGCACGCCATCGTCGTTACGGTTCATCGAATCCGCAAACTTTTCCCCCTGCGCAACATCAAGAGAAATTATCATCAGTATATATGGTCAAGCAAACGCAAGAAACTGCAAGACATAAAAATAGACAGGACTTGCAATAGTAGTAACTCCTAAAAGTAAGTGGTAACAGAAAGAAACAAAAATCCAATTCAAGAACACCATGACTGAAGCAGAAAAACTATTCATTTATTCATTCATTCAAGAATGGTTCGAATAGCTGCACTGGAACCAAACAAAGTAGCATTAAGGTTGTGTTTAGATCCAAAGTGTGGATCCAAACTTCATTCCTTTTCTATCACATCAACCTGTCATACACACACAATTTTTCAGTCACATCATCTCTGATTTCAATCAAAATCCAAACTTTGCGCCGAACTAAAAAAAAACACAGCATAAAGGCTGCAAATCTACACTACTACAGTTCACAAGCAGGGGCAAGGTCTCTCTGCTCGTGAACTTGTTGTTTAGTGGCATTTCAAATACAGTATCTGACTTGTTGTTGTTGCTATGTCCAAAACCTTAATCTTGTCTGATGCTCACTGAACAGAAGAGGCTTTGGGGGCCTCGTCAGTGTCCCCAGAGAAATTCTCAGAAAAATTAAAAATGAGAGAGAAAGAAGGAATCACGATGACAAGGACATCACGTGACTGACCACGCCCTGACAAAACCCAATTAACCAATCGAGCTACTCCACTCCAACAACATGCCATGCCAATATGCCACTGCCATCATCATCAAGAATGCCGACATCTTCTCAACCAAAATCTCTCCCCTTAAGATGAAGTACTACCTCTCTATATCAAATTGCCGGTAATTAACCCTTAATCAATGCAGTAAAAAAATGTAAAAAGTGAATTATCTTCTGTTTGATTGATTTCGTTTTGTAAGAGAAGATCTACAGATGCACGTGGTGGCATGCGACAACCGCCAGTGACGGAACCGGTGGGTGGGCCCCGGAGGTGTCAGGCAGGGGATCCAATGGCCGGCGGCCACGTCGCCGACCGCCGCGCCGCAACTTGCTCCCCTCCGGTTTGGTCACACCCGGGATCCTGGGCCCCACCTCCCAGCCACACAAAACTAATCCCGAAAAAGCCGAGCATACTACTAGTACACACCCAACTTCAAAATTATTTCAACTTTTATCTACAGAACGAGAAATAAAATAAATTATTTTACAAAAATAGACACTTTTTTACGTATTCCGCTCAAAAACAAAAATGATTTCATGTACCAAAAAAATATATACTAATACTAGAGAGAAAACGCTGACACGTGGGGCCCTTGCTTGGTCCACCGCGGCGGGCAGGGCATGGTGGGGCCCACGCGGGGGAACAGCAACAGAATCTCGGGGAAAGCGGGCGATCCATCCATCCTTCCAACCAAACCTTGCAAAGCAAGTCAGAAGAAGAAACCAACGGAAAGGCCTAGGCAAACACACACAAATTTTCCACGGTTTTTACTCCCCTTCCTACCAGGAAAATCAAATTAACTCGAACTCTGGTAGGAGGACACGAGGGAACACGTGGCTGGCGCACGTCTGACACCGTGGGCCCACCCAGTCCACGCGGAGGGCCCACCTCCCGAGGGGAAGGCAACGCGCGTGACGGCGACTCGGGAGCCGCTGCTACTACTACTACTCCAGTTCAACACGAAACCGCCTAGAAAATTTCCTTATAGTTTGATTTCGAAAGAAAAAATTTAAGGGTTTGAGCAGGTTTATGACTTTATTCAATTATTATCCATAACTGAATTCTTCTAGAATTACAAAATACTCCGTATAGTAGAAGAAAAATCCATACATTTTTTTTAAGGAAGAGAAGGGCCCGATGGTGATAAAATGGGGGTAAATCCAACGACACCGGCCACCGCGGCCCGGTGCGCAGAATCCGCCGCCGTCTACAGCTGGCGCCGACGCGGCGGCCGCTACCCAAACGAACACCTTTTACGCCCCACGAGTCCGCATCGAATACCCAAACACAAACGAACGCGATATACTTTTTTTTCTTTTTTCAGGTAGAACTTTCTTCTTTTTTTTTGCCTATTATTACATATACACAAATCGTAACAGACAAGGAAAACTACCACTACTAAAATGATATAGTGAAAAAATAAAGGAAGAGCTTTTTTGAACGGACCTAAAAAATGCTTCATCTTGGCAAATAAGCTGAATTTACGGGTCCAAAGTAAATGTTTAAATTTCTGTTGAGATTAAACAGATAAACACTATGGTAGTACGACTATTTTTTTCTATAATAAGTGAACAAAAGAGGTGAAAAGCAAACGGATTTCGTCAGAAAAATCGTTGCAGGCACATCTCCCATACACAAATCAAATCAAGGTGGAATTTTAAGTCAAAAAAGGGAACTTGTCGTCTGATTTCCTAACAAAAAATCGTTGCGAGAATCATCACACAAGCAAGAACACAGATCACAAGCAAATCGCCCGAGGAAGGAACTTGAAGAGAAAAATAAAAGCGAATCGCACGAGGAAGGGACTGGAAGAAAGAAGATTTCAGGGCACAAGAAAGAGCTCAAGAGTTCTGAATCCAAACGGAAACAAAAGTAAAAGGGCCAAAAACAAATGGGGAAAAAAGTGGGGGGGACTCACCTCTGCTTTAGCCGCTGCGGCGGTCTGAGCGCCGCCGCCGGCGACCAGGCACGGCCGCTTCTCCGGTGAGCTGCACCCCTCGTCGCCGCTCGACGAGGCGCCGCCGGATCCGCCCGCCCCCGGCGCCGCCTTCCGCTTCCGCGACGACTCGTCGCCGCTGGAGGACGCGCCGGATCCGGTGGTGGCGGCGTAGTCCAGAGGGGTCTCTGGGCTAGACGCCTCCATGGCCTCCTTCGCCGCCGCGAGGACCGTCTTGACGTGCGCCCTCTCGACGGGGCGAGGACGCGGACGCCGGTCGCCGCCGGCCGTGGAAGGGGCGGATCCGGCCGCCGCGACGTAGTACGGCGGCGACTCGGGCATCCGCGCCGCCGGCGTCGGCTCGGCCTTCACCACCGCGCGTGGCGGCAGAGGCCTCGCCACGCCATCCCGGCTGAAATTCGCGCCGGATCCCGCGCCGGCCCCGTACTCCGGCGGCGTCTCCGGCCCCCGCGCCGCCGTCGGCTCGTCCTTGACCTTCATCTTGAACAACATCTTCTTCCTCGCGGGGGGCGGGAGCGGGGCCGGAATCGACGCCGCCTTCTCCCCGCCGGAATCCCTCAGCTCCAGGCCACACACCAAAATGGCCGGCGGCGGTTTGGACTTGGAAGTCCGCTTCCGCCGGTCCTTCCATCCCGGCAACTTCTTCTCCTCAGCGGCGGCGCCCTTCTCATCCGGCCGCGGAACCCACTCCGGCCACCGCACCAGCCTCCTGTTCTGGAAGCTGACCAGAATCTCGGCGGCCGTCTCCACCGCGTCGTCCATCGGAAACGGAATCCACAACACCAGCCACCCGCACGCACGCACGCCGCCGGCCGCCGCAGATGGGAGACTGCTCCTCCTCTCCGCCGCGAGCGAGAGAGAAAGAGAGAGAGAGAGAGAGATTGGTGGTTTCTTGGAAAGGGAGAGGCGAGAGAGGCGAGAGAAGCATTTATAGGGAGGAGGAGGAGGAGGAAAAAAAAACCTGAAAGGGACGGGCGCTTCTCGGCCGCCGCGTAGACCGGGTGTTGGTAGACCTCGCACGCTGACATGTGGGCCCCACCCACCGTCTCTCACAGTCCGGCTCGGTGTAAAGGCATCGGGGATCCACTTCGCACTCGGGTTGGTAGACCCGCATCACTTCCAGGTGGGCCCGGGTCTCTCGCCCTGTTGGAGTCTGATGCGGGTACGTCTCGTCTCGTCTTCGTCTGTGGATTGCGAGGAATTCTCGCTTTTGAGTTTGTACTGCTCCTGCGCCTACTCATTCAATGGCAGGTAGGCCCGGTACGTGATGCTTTTCTTTTTTTTTTTTTGGAGAGAGAGGGAGGAAGGAAGTGGGAGTGCGGCTTATGGATCAATCTCCGGTAAGAAAGTGAAAATTATGGATTTGTCGCAACCGAAACATCAACTACGAAGATTAGCTATTTATTGTAAATGATTTTTTTATCAGTTGGCTTTGGTGAGGTAAAAACAAAGGTTTTCAACAAACCCAACCTATTTCTGAATGAGTTGTTTGTTTCTAGATACAAGGTAAAGACCTATGTTTTAAAAATGAATTATACTTGGGCTAATAATATTTGGAATAAGTTAGTTGTAAAGTTTTGGGACAATTTCATTCTTGATTCGCTGTAGATCTCTTTGCATGATAAACCTAAATTTTAGAGAGAAAATACAATATAGCTCGTAGGTGGCATATTCACAGTTTGAGGAGAAGGGGATTGGGAAGATACGCAAAACGAGGTGAGCCATTAGCACATGATTAATTAAATATTAACTATTTTAAATTTTAAAATGGATTAATATGATTTTTTAAAGCAACTTTCCTATAGAAAATTTTTGCAAAAAAATACACCGTAAACGGTAGTTTGGGAAGCGTGCGCGTGGAATACGATGTGCATACTCTCCAATCACCCAGGGGCGAATGCACCGTTTAGGCTGTGTGTGTGTTCTTCCCCCATTTTCCTAACCCGTCTCTCTCGTTTTCCGCACGCATATTTTTTAAACTGCTAAACAGTTGATTTATGAAAAAACTTTCTATATGAAAGTTGTTTTAAAAATCATATTAATCCATTTTTTAAAAATAGTTAATACTTAATTTGTCGATGAGTGATACTCGCGGACCGGAAGAATAGGGTATTGGGGTACGTTGGAACAGGGATCTACGTAGTACGACATCAAAACAGACAAAAGACAAGGATTATACTGGTTCAGGCCCCTTATCAGGTAATAGCCCTAGTCCAATTTACATGGGATTGATGATGATGAGAACAGATTACAAAGAGAGTAACCGAATAGACGATGCTGATGAGATCGTAGTCGAGGGACTCGACGAGATCTCCCGGCGAGTTGGCTTCGTGGACTCCGGCTTCGTAAACTTTGGTAGGTGTGTTGGCAATGAGATGCGATACCCTTTGCCTCTCCCTAGGGGTCCCTTTTATATCGTGGGATACCTTGACCCTCAAGTAAGACTTGGAGATATGTAAACCGACACGATATACTAGAGATTTTATCTTTTCCGAGTATGACTTTTGCAATTCCTTAACTTCGTGGAGATATTTTCCATAATTTGAGGCGAATTCCTAACGGCGTATATGGAAACTAACCATATACATAAAGGTATACCTTATCGGTATATTCCATAAGTCGTGGGATAGAGGGTATGCCTTATCTGTAACCCTGACATAATTAATCATGCAATAATACGAGTTTCGTTTTGCGTGCCGGGAGGAGGAGAACACAGCCGTAGTATACATGAGTATTTGATGGGACCTTATGGCATAATTTTGTCATACCAGGAAGAGTTCATATAGTAACGTAGCATTTTTATTTTTATTAAGACTTTAATTGAAAGAATTATTAAGAAGGTCCAAATTGGCGCACGTAAAACGAGAAAACTATTAACACATAATTAATTAAGTTTAATTATTATAAACTTAATAAATTGATATATTTGATCTTTTAAAGCAACTTATATATAGAAAGTTTTCGCACGAAAACGCACTGTTTAGTAGCTTAAAAAGCGTGCTAACGAAAATCGAGATAAAATCTGAATCTTAATCAGAAAAGAACAAGGCACGACGAATAAATCCTACCATGCCATCGTAGGGTTAACAACATTTTCCCTGGCCACTTGCCTTTTTTATGGGCTGCAAGTTTACCAGGCTTCCTTTATTCATGAGCTTCCGATGAGTTGGGCTGGCTGAGCCATTGAGGAACTTTCAGAATTTTGATAGTAATTACTGTACAAATACGGTTACCGACAAAATGGTCGGAAAAAACTCCATCACATTTCCACTACCATTTCCAGAAGATATTACCGTTTCCATTTCCACCATCATCAGTTATCGATACCAATTGAAATGGTCGGTGCAAACTGAAAACGACAGCTGGAAATCTCAAAAATTTCCGTTCCATTTTCACCACTAATGCCATGTGTTTTTGTATTGTGATTGGTGCCACCTATTAAGGTTATGTTTTTTTCTCCAATTTTCTATTTTTCACTCCCTCATTTTTCGTGCACACATTTCATGATATGTTAAACGGTGTGTTTTTTAAAAAAAAATCTATATGAACGTTGCTTTAAAAACCATATTAATAATTTTATTTTTTTAACTAATACTTAACTAATTATGTGTTAATATACCGCTTCATTTTGCGTGCGGAAGGAAAAAGTTCTCAAGTCCCATCCATTCTAAAAGAACACAATCTAAGACCACCATGATGAATTGCAATTCCAAAAATAGAAAATTATAAGTTATAAAATCCAATTTTTACAAATCCTCATTGACTGGCTACTCACGATCTGTTTTTCAAATCTCGATATCCTCCAAACAAAGCTAGATTTGCTATGGCGTTAAAGGAAACAGGGTAAAGGTCCAAGAATATTGTTTCTTTGTTTGTTGATTAAATGATTACCAAATGGTTTGTACTAGATATATGTACTACCATCTATGATCAAATCAATAACATATGTTGGCCAATTTGGTGCCGAAATGATATTTTTCATAATAAGAAAATAGCTAATCATATGCATGTTATCTTCATGTCTACCAATCAACGCTATACTTGTATTTGATGCTATCATGGGAGAAACGAGATACTATGCGTGGTGATGCTACACTTTTAAAATTGGTAGCCAAGGGTATTTTATACAATTTTGGATGGAGTAGCACCTATCGAATTAATCGCTATAATTTACGGGATTTATATTAGCTTTTAATTCTGGTGATCATCTTCTCAGAGAAGAGGGAAATTGTCCCATCACTATATTTTTCTCTCATTTTCAATTATAAAATACAATGGATGCATGTCTGCTTGTAGGCAGAGGTCAAACATGTAAACCATTTTTATTATCTTACAAAAATATCAATCATTTACAATATATGTACATTATGCAAATACAATGTGGCAGGTTCACATTGTCTTCATGTCCTAGAGCGACCAGGCCGTGACTTCAATTGCCACGTGGATCCAACGTGGCACCATTGACATGCCAGACGAGCCGACACGGCACGGCAGTGCCAATCAGTAGAACCATCACACTTCTGTGGTTTTTGCCTGATTTACGCCAACCTTTCCCTAAAAGGAAGTAAGGTTATATTCGCTAATTACCTCAACATGGGACATTTATCAGCTAGCCATACGTTTCTACTTGTATAAAAGCCGGCATGGTGCTCTTTTATTTGCAACGTTACTTATAGTTAAATTAATTTGTAACAGAATTGTCGATTCATATGTGACCCCACGAGCAGACCTTTTTATCAGCACAAGCAGATCACATTTATGGAGTTCATACAACTAACATTTATACATAATTAATATATACTCCATCCGTCCTAAAATATAATTTTAGTATTTTTTAGTTGGATGGGACGTATTCTAGTACTATAAATCTGGATAAGCCTCCTGTCCAGATTTGTAGGACTATGACACATCCCATCCAAACAAAAATTACTAATTCGTATATTTTAGAACGGAGGGAGTATTTGAAATTACATATCGATAATGCTTTCTCTTAAACGTCCGGAGCATATGTTTGTGTTCACCGACCAGCAATTTGGACCCAATATGATACTAATAAAAAACACACGTATATTGGTAATGGGCAGGAAGTTTCTTCAAACTGGTGGTCTTAGATATAGATTGATGATTAATTAGTAATAAGAAAATGTCAACTTTAGTTACGTACTCCGTGCCAACATTTGACCATTTGTATTATTTGAAAAATTTATTAAAAAATTTAAAAAAATCACACATAAAATATTGTTCATGTTTTATTATCTAATAACAATAAAAATACTAATCATAAAAACAATTTAAATAAAACGGACAGTCAAACGTTGGACACCGAAACCCACAACTGCGCTTAAAATTAGACGGAGGGAGTACGTAATATCCATTACATAATAATAAAAAGGTAATCTTTTTACGTGGTGGTGTTGATGGCAAAATTTAGTAAGATACGTGAAGATAAGGATAGATCCGAAGCGGATTTGAAGGAATTAACGTGGTTTCCAAAACAGAACGGCGCATCAGCAGAAAACTGTATTGGCCGATATAGAGTCGGATTCGGTTAGCCGATATAGGCAATTTGAGTTCATATCAAACTCAAGATTAAGGTTTCAAAGATATTGCAAAATAAGGACGGAGTCCGAAGAAGACAATTGAAAACAATCCGTTTTCCTTTATGTATTTTAGAAATTTATGTTAGAGTTCACAATGAGCTAGTGTGTTTATTTTTGTAAAGTTTGAATTGTATCCGATATGGACAAGTTTTGTACTACAGTTATAAATACATGCCCAGGACCTTGTAAAAAAAATAACAGTTCAATAAACTCTTGGCACATCACCCCCTTTTTACTTTTCGACTTTCTCGACGAGTTCTTGCTTCAAGTTGGGGCATCGGCTTCGATTTTCCGGCAAGAGGTATGGCATGTCACAGTGGTTTG